GCTGGTCCCAAAATCCTTTTGAAATGTAGATGACCCAAGGAAAGGTTCTGGTTCACATCCAAAGACCCGCCCTGAGTGTGCCAGGTATGCAGGAGCTTATGATCCAGGGCTGGTGGAGTTGTAGGAGAATTGCAATGCTAGGATCCTTTTGGGAGTCTGTCTCTTTCTCTTGGAAGAAAGAAAGAAAGGGAGAAAGAAAGAAAGAAAGAAAGAAAGAAAGAGAAAGAAAGAAAGAAAGAAAGAAAGAAAGAGAAAGAAAGAAAGAAAGAAAGAAAGAAAGAGAAAGAAAGAAAGAAAGAAAGAAAGAAAGAGAAAGAAAGAAAGAAAGAAAGAAAGAAAGAGAAAGAAAGAAAGAAAGAAAGAAAGAAAGAGAAAGAAAGAAAGAAAGAAAGAAAGAAAGAGAAAGAAAGAAAGAAAGAAAGAAAGAAAGAGAAAGAAAGAAAGAAAGAAAGAAAGAAAGAGAAAGAAAGAAAGAAAGAAAGAAAGAAAGAGAAAGAAAGAAAGAAAGAAAGAAAGAAAGAGAAAGAAAGAAAGAAAGAAAGAAAGAAAGAGAAAGAAAGAAAGAAAGAAAGAAAGAAAGAGAAAGAAAGAAAGAAAGAAAGAAAGAAAGAGAAAGAAAGAAAGAAAGAAAGAAAGAAAGAGAAAGAAAGAAAGAAAGAAAGAAAGAAAAGAAAGAGGAAGAAAAACTTAAAAACAAACAAACTTGGGACCAGTTGGAGCAGTAGTTAAGGCGCTGGACACTCCCATATGGCTGACCACAGTTCGAGGCCTGAACCTGGTGGCTTGCTTTCTCACCACATCCCCTGCTCCATCGTGTCTCTCTCTGGTCAAATTAAAATAAATGAATGAATAAATAATCTTTTAAAAACAAACAAACTCAATATAAGTCCATCTGTGGACACAGCAGGGAGTTGCTGCAGGGTACTAGATCCACATGGGAGGCCTGTGTTTGGACCCAGGTGAAAACCTGAATATGCCACCTGCGATCCTGGCTGGATGCTGGGAGGTTAGGAGAAGGATCGTGTCATGGTGAGACACTCTCAAGACTCTCTCACTCTAAGGAATAATTAAATAAGCCTAAAGAAAGCACAGCAACTCAGTGCAAATGGCACCTCCCTCGTTTTTCCTACTAACTTGTCGAGTCTCACAGCATCATGCATGGTCTTTATTTATAATTTTCTCCAGTGTATCTTTATAGATTATTTATTTATTTACTTATTTTGGAGAGGTTTTTGCTATATGGAGTATGCACTCACCAGAAAGAGAGAAACAGAGAGACAGAAAGTGAGAAATCACCCCCCAGGGGGGAACAGCCACAACAAAAACACCCTTTCAGGATCTTGGGCACGCGTGCACATGTGCCTGGCATGAGTTTAAGCCACCAGGTCTGGGACTCGAACTACATGGGAGTCCAGCAACATAGCCATTACACCAACTGTTGGTCTCAAGATTTTAAAATTTTTTAAAGAATTATTTAATTTTGGACCAGTAGATGGCATAATGGTTACGTTGCTGGACTCCCATGTAATCAACTGCGGTTTGAGTTCTGGACTCAGTGTCTTAAAACTCATGCTGAGTGCATGTGCATGACTGTCCAAAATCCCAAGAGGAGAATGCAGAAGGGATTACAGTGTGGACATCCCCTCCTGGGGATGGGGGATGATTTCTCACTTTCTGTCTCTCTGTTTCTCTGACAAGTACAAGTGCCCTATAGCAAAAATCTCCTATAAAACAATTAATTTAATTTAATTTTTATTTTTTAATTTGACCAGAGACAGAAAGAGAGAGAGGAAAAATGAGAAAGTAAGCTACCAGGTCTGGGACTCAAACGGCAGTCAGCCACATGGGAGTCCAGTGCCTTAGGCACCAGGTCACTTGCTGGCCCAAGATTTTTTTTCCCTTAAATTTGACAGAGTGTATGTGCTCCAGAGAGTGACAGAGGGGCAGAGAGAGAGCAAGAGGGAGTAGAAGAAAATATCCTCATTGGGGCGTGCTCCCAACCCCTTCTTCCTTTCTCCACCCTGTTGGCATTTGGGGCAGCATGCACATACACTCCATGTTTTTCAGGCCACGAGGTCCAGGAGTTGAACCTCATAGACAGCCATGTGGAATATGGCTCCCTTAACCAGCAGGCCAGGGACCCAGCCCATTTGTGGAATATTTTCTACGTGCATGAAACAGCACAGACGCCATCTTTACACTTCAAGAGGTCACAGTGTGGGCCAGCAGGTGGTGTGAGGGTTAAGGCACTGGATTCCCACATGGCCAACCATGGTTCGAGTTCTAGACCCAGCCACTTGAAAATCACAATATATAAATGACTATGTATTTAAAAAAAAGAAAGAAAGAAACAGAGGTAACAATGTCATGAGAGATAGGACCCATGAATGAACCCTTACAACGCTATGTAGTGGGGGGTTCCAGCGAAAGCCAGAAGTTAGAGAGGCATTTGACCCAGCCAGGGGTGAGGTACTCATGGGAGACTTCTCAGAAGAGGTGATATTGGGACCAGCAGTTAGCGTAATGGCTATGTTGCTGGACTCCCATGTAGTCAACCACGGTTCAAGTCCTGGACCCAGTGGCTTAAACTCACGCCGGGCGTGTGTGCATGTCTGCCCAAGATCCCGAGAGGAGAATGGAGGAGAAGGGATTGCGGCGTGGCCATCCCCTCTGGGGGTGATTTCTCACTTTCTGTCTCTCTTTCTCTGTCTCTCTGTCTTTCTGGCGAGTGCACACGCCCTATAGCAAAAACCTCTCCAAAAAAAAAAAAAGAAGAGGTGACACAGGACAGGTTGATTGAGGCAGAAGGGAGTGAAGAATATGTAGAGAGCCTGGCACCTCCAAGAAAGTATTAAAATGATCCAGTCTCATTTTGGGCTAGAGGTGAAAAAAAAAACAGAGGGAGCATTGGAAGTAGGAGAGGGAGGTAAGAAAGGTTAGAGATGAACAGGAACCAGACCTCACAGGGCCTTGTTTTCTTTTCCTTTTCTTTTTCAGGAGAGGTTTTTTGCTATAGGGCACATGTGCTCACCAGAGACAGAAAGAGACAGCCAGAAAGCGAGAAATCACCCCCCAGGGGGGATGGCCACACCGCAATCCCTTCTCCTCCATTCTCCTCTTGGGATCTTGGGCACGCACGCACACGCGCCCGGCGTGAGTTTAAGCCACTGGGTCCGGGACTCAAACCGTGTTTGACTACATGGGAGTTAGCTACATAGCCATTACGCCATCTGCTGGTCCCTGTTTTTGTTTTCTTGCTGTAGGGTGCATACACTCTTGTGAGACAGACAGAGCCAGAGAGAGAGAGAAAGGGAGAGTGAGAAAGCACCCCTTAAGGTGCACTCACTCTTCAATACTTACTCCTCCATCTTCCTCTCCAGATTTTGGGAATGCACACACATGTGCCCAGTGCGTTTTACAAGCCATGGGGTCTAGAACTTGAGCCAGAGTTGGCCATGTGGGACCCAGTACTTTAACAACCTTGCCACCTGTTGGCAGTTGACTATTTTTTTTAAAGAATTATTTTAATTTAATTTTTATTTATTCATTCATTTATCTTTTAATTTGACCAGAGAGAGAGAGAGAGAAAGCAAGCCACCAAGTCCAGGACTCGAACTGTGGTCAGCCATGTGGGAGTGTCCAGCACCTTAACCTCCACACCATCTGCTGGTCCCCTACTTGACTTTTTTCTTAAAGGATTATTTATTTTATTTATTATTACCATTATTTTTTTCACATGTGCTCACCAGAGAAAGAGAAAGAAAGGGAACATTAAAAAGCAAGCCACCAGGTCTGGGACTCAAACTGTGTGTGGCTATGTGGGACTCCAGTACCTTATCCACCACACCACAAACTGGCCCAATTTTTTGTTTGTTTGTTTAGTTTTTTTTCATAGGGCATGTGGCTCCCCCACAGGACAGAGATTCAGAGAGACAGAAAGTGAGAAATCACCTCCCAGAACTGATGGTCATGCCATAATACCTTCTCCTCTCAATTTTGTGCCTAGTATAATTTTTTTCTTTCTTTCTTCCTCTTTCTTCTTTTTTTTTCTTTTTCTTCTTTCCTTCTTTTTCTCTCTCTTTTTTTCTTTCTTTTCTTTCTTATTTTCTTTCTTTTTATTTTGAGAGGTTTTTGTCTTGGGGCACATGTGCTCCCCAGACACACACACACACACACAGTGAGACAGAAAGCAGAAAATCACTCCTCCCAGTCACCCCCACTCCCCCCCACCACCCAGGTATGGCTACACCCCTACACCCCACCACCCCCATTATGGGTACGCACGCACTCATGCCAGGCCTGTGTTTCAACCCAGTGTGCACTTCAAGCCACCGGGTCCAGGATTCCAATCACTATAGGCCAATGAGGGATTGTAACACCTTAACACCTAACTCCACCGGTTGGCCCCCTTACCTTGTTTTATTGGGCAGCTATTCAAGTGCAAATAAGAGGGGTGATTAATTCTCCCAAAGATCTGGCTTTTCCTCTCCAGTAAACGAAATGGCCCTACCCCCGTTCCCCAAGATGAGTAAGGACGGCCTGCTAGGGGAATGTAGGAGGAATCAGGAGGTGTAGGGGGAGGGGAGCCTTCCCTCTGACACAGTAGCGAAGCCCCCCTGCACACTGCACGGGCCCAGCCGGTATCATGGGGCCAGGCTAGCAGGGCAGCCTCAGGGGGCCCAGAAGAGGAGGCAGAGGGGGAATCCTGACAGTAGGGACGGGGGAAGAGATGGGAGGGGCAGACGCAGGGGTGGGGCCTTGGCAAGAACAGGAAGGGGACTAAGAGTCTCAGATAGGCTGCCGGCTCCCCTTTGTCTGGCAGGCAAAGGACTTCCGTCTTGGGAGCACCTGCAAATGATACATAGGAATCTGCCCCTATGGGTTCTTTTCACACCCAGAAACTCAATCTTACCCCTTAAATCTATCCTTAGCCTTGGTCTCTTGGGTTCAAACACCTGCTGTGGCTCCCTATTGCTCCGGGTAAAGTCCCTGCTGGGGCTCTAGGAGAACCTGCCATCAACGCGAAGGCCCCGGAGGGTCAGGCCAGGGAGGGGCCTGGGCTCCGGGGCCCC